TCCTTGTGTCTCTAGCACTAAGCATGGTGCCTGGCACAAAGAAGGGACTTAATACATATTTGCTGACTGACGGACTTATCAGTTCATATATTTCCCTGATGACACTGCACACTGCAATTCAATTCTGCTTCAGTGTTCTTGCTTAGCTGTGTACTGCATCCTGCTCACACTCACCAAACACCTCTCCATTGTCCTTGAGATTTTCACTTTCAATTCCTTAAAGGCAACAGCGGCTCATAGCTTACAGCTAAACACTACTCAGAATGCATTCCTGCTATGGAAAAGATTGGCCCCCAAATCTATTTAAGAATATGGCCAATTAACAAAAAAGGCTTATGTAGAAAATTGGTAAGCATTTCCAGAACCAGGACAAAGTAATGCCTGTGAGAACAGGGATGGACCATAGACCAGTTATCCAAGAGAAACTTAATAAAATTATTGAACTGCAAGGAACATTCCTATGAAGTATGATGACCAGCTGTGCTCAATCTCAGAGGAAAGATGAATAGAGCTGCGTGTGATTGGGTGACCCTGATACTTCCAGTAGATCTGTGAACTCTTTTGCATAGTTATTCCTTCTAGCAGAGCAGACCTCAACCCATCCACATCTTCTCATCCTGGGCAGTTCTGGACCATGTTTCTTCATAAACCAATCAAAGAGGATCCAGCCAATGCATCAGAAGCTGCCCTTTTATTAAGATCCACAGATCTTGGAATCTGTAGATTCCATGGATGCAATTCATCAATAAACATTTATTAAGTGCCTACTATGTGACAGGCACTGTGCTAAGTGCTGAGGATACAAAAAGAGGCAAAACACAGTCCTTGCCCTCAAGGAGCTTACAATATAATTGGGGAGACAATAAGAAAGCAAATATTTGCAAACAAACCATATACAGGCTAACTAGGAAATCATTTACTAAAGAAAGGCATTAGAAAGAATAGAGTTGTGAATGGCTTCCTGTAAAAAGTGGAATTTTATTTGGGACTTAAAGGAAGCCAATAGGCAGAGATGAAGAGGGAGAGCATTCTAGCTATGGGGACAGTCAGAGAATATGCCCAGAGTGCAGAGATGAAGGGTTGTGTTCACGGAACCGACAGGAGGCCAGTGTTGCAGGACAGAAAACTATGTGATGGAGAATAAAGTGAACTGGAAAGGTAGAAGGGCCTGGGTTATGAAGAGCTTTGAATGCCAAGCAGAGGATTTTGTATTTGATCTCAGAGATGACAAGAAGCCACTGAACTTTGAGTGGGGAAGGGGAACAGACAGGACCTCAGCTTTAGAAAAAAAAATCACTTTGGTGGCTGAATGGAGGACAGATTGGAGTAAGGAGAGACCGGAGGCAGGAAGACCCACCAGTGGCTATTGCTATAGTCCAGCTGGGCTGTTCCCCTGCCCATGTGTTTCTGACTACATAACCAGCCCTCCTCTTTTTCCTTGCTCTCAAGAATGTCTATAATGCCATTTTTCCCCCAGCAGCCAACACTATGGCTATGCTCCAGTCTATTTAGACTGGTCATGTGGATTTCCATGATTTTGGGGTCACTTGCTACAATGTATCTTCTGAGAGATGCAGGGTGACCCTTCATTTACAGCCATATGGCACTGGAAGGATACTAGTATGAAAAACAATGGTTTTGGAACCAAATAGCAGCTTAGGATCAGGAAAAGTCTCTCTCCATTCCTTCAGTGGAAGCCAGCATTCTCTTCTTCCTGTGGGATTCTGAGACTGGCTCACCATCCACTGACTGTCTGCTCCAGGTATTGTCCAAGGGGATAGAGTAACCCAACAGGCTGCCCACCCAGCTACATATCACTGAGGTCAACAGAGGAAAAGCGTGAAGCATGAGGGGTTTTGTGTAGGTAGCAGGAAGAACTCCCTACACATCAATGTTGCTTGGAGCTAGAATACTTTCCATGCTCCCTCCCTCCTCAAACCATCAGGAATCTTCTTAGCTCTTTATATATTGTCATCCCCAGGCATCCACTGACCACCCTCTCACCCAAGTAGAACGTCAGCTCCTTACAGACAGGGACCGCTTTTCATTTGGTCTGGTTACTCCCAGCGCTTTGCCCACAGTAGGCACTTAATCAAATTTGTTGCTCTAGCAATCCTTTCAAACTAAGCAGGGATTTTTCTGCACGGGATTATTTAATGAGGGGCCTGCAGAAGGGCGTCGCAATGACTTCAAGGGCCCCTCTACCTCTGTAATTCCATATATTTGTGTTCCGGCAGACTCATACTGCAAGTGAACAGAAGATTTTTGAAAACAGAAATGCATCTGGGATTTTTTTCCTTTTTCTTTCTTTTTTTTTATTTTAAAGAATATATCTTCTCTTTTTGCCTCCACTGCAGTCTTTCTCTGATGCCTCATCATGTCAGGGGTGGGCACAAGCCCTCAGAGGTTCAGGGGATGCATCTGTCTCCAGAACACAGGCCTGACACACCTGACTTTTGTTTGACTTTTCTTTTCACTTCCACCCCCATACCTTTCACTTACTAGTTAGTAACTCTGGCCAAGATGCTTAGTTTCAGGTCCCTCATCTGGGACAGGAGGCATATGGAAGGAAGGTTCTTTCAGGTCCCTCCAGGGTGTATAGCTCTAATCCTATCATCCAATAAACTCATGGGAATTCTTCTAGGGCCTTGAGCCATAACAGATTCACTTTTAACACTGCTCTTGACCATCAGTATCAAATTCATTATGAATCATGGTAGAAACCCCACTATGTCGTAACTCAAAACCCCCAAGGATCCCATAATCTGAAGTCATTGAACTCTGAGGCTCAGTATATCACTCCTCCTGTAAAATGAGGGGTTTTGACTAGACAACCTCTCAGGTGCCCCCAGTTATGAAGCTCTCTTGCCACAATGGGAGCTCTTCTGGATGCAGTGTGATCAGGAGATCTGTGCAGGGCTCAACAGAAAGCCATCCCATTTCAGCAGAGCAAGCTTTGGGCCAGGAGGAGTCTGAGACCTCAGTCCTTATGCCAACTCCAACATCAACTTTCTGCCTGACCTTGGGAAAGGCCTTTGCCTTTTCTAGGACTCACCTTCCCAGTCTGTAAGATGAAGGTGAAGACACTGGGCTTGGTGATGACCTTATTCAAACATTTTAAGGCCAGACACTGCAAGTTCCTTCTTTCCCTTCCATAACTCTGGCCTAATTCTGAGGCCCAACTGAGTCAGGGTTCTTTCACATAAACAGATACATAGCATTCAGGGCCTGGGATCACCCCCATAACTTTTTCCCCTAACCCAAACTACCACTATTAAAAAAAATTAATTGACCTTCCATCTTTATTAACAATCCTACTCTGTCAGGGGAAAGAAGCAATCGGTAAGCCTTGCTTAGGTTGTGCCAGACCCTTTGATCTGCACCCTGATGAGGGAACATTCCCGCATGTTCCAAGTTCACTAACGAAGGGATGAAATTAGCTTTTATCCTAGGCACTTTCTTTAGCAAAAAAACAGGCACTAATCAGCTGTCCTCACCAATCAGTCATCTGGCTAATGACCTTTTGCCTCAGAACACTAAAATTTCTGAATGATGAGGAAGAAGGCAAACACAAGCCAGCCTTCTTGTCGGGTCTCGGTGGGTCTCGGCGGTGAATCTGGCGTCAGCGACAAGGAGGTTAAATGGCAAAGCTTCATCTCAGGCTTGGCGATAAATTTGCAATATACAAGCCCCTGCTTTGACGCCTCAATGTGCACTCCATTAGCCCCCAACAAATGAAGACCTTTTAATTAGAAGCAGATCCCCCTCCCTCCCACACACACACACACACACACACACACACACACACACACACACACACACACACACACCAAAATCTTAGTCATTGTATTTTGCCCTGAGAGAAAATAATTATCCATCTGCATTCAGGTTGTAGTGAAATTTTTACACTTTATTAATATCTCAAAAATTAGAATCTCAAAAAGTTTAAAGGAAGTCTCCATTCTGACAGTAGCCTAAGAAGAAAAAGAAAGGCCCCCACATTAGGTAACCTTTCATTTCTAATAGTTTATGCTTCTCAGGAATAAATCTGCATTTTCCTCTTCTTTTCTCCCTAACTCATACTCTCTCTCTCTCTCTCTCTCTCTCTCTCTCTCTCTCTCTCTCTCTCTCTCTCTCTCTCTCTCTCTCTCTCCCCCCTCCCTCCCTCTCTCTCTCTCTCTCTCTCTCTCCCCCCCCTCCCTCCTCTCTCTCTCTCTCTCCCCCCTCCCTCCCTCTCTCTCTCTCTCTCTCTCTGTCTCTCTCTCTCTCTCTCTCTCTCTCTCTCTCTCTCTCTCTCTCTCTCCCTCCCTCCCTCTCTCTCTCTCTCTCTCTCTCTCTCCCCCTCCCTCCCTCTCTCTCTCTCCCCCCCTCCCTCTCTCTCTCTCTCTCTCTCTCTCTCTCTCTCTCTCTCTCTCTCTCTCCCCCCTCCCTCCCTCCCTCTCTCTCTCTCTCTCTCTCTCTCTCTCTCTCTCTTCTCTCTCTCTCTCTCCCTCCCTCCCTCCCTCCCTTCCTCCCCCCTCCCTCTTTCCCTCCTAAGAAACTCCAGTTATCAATGGGAATGTTTTTTTTCTCAAATCTTCTGTGGTTTAATGATGACCCCCACCCCTACACACACACACACACACACACACACACACACACACACACACACACAAAATCTCTTCCACATGTAGAACTCCCCTACAGGTACAGCCATTCTGACCAGAGTTACAGGAAGGTCTTTGAATTAACAACAGATGAGCCTGAACTCTTGAAGCCTGAAAGCAATGTGGCCCCCAGTGCTTTGGAGACTTAAGGAGATGCTTCCCTTAAAAAAAAAAAAAGTTGAGGTGAGGAGAAAGTAGGAAAGGGGAAGAGAAGCCAAAACGACTTGGGAAATGTTTCAAGATCAATGCCACCCAAAGATTTAAGCCTGCACGTGACACCAACAGCCCCACACAATTCTGTCTGGCCATCACCCCCCTGCACTTTTTGCTGAGGATGGGGAATCTGTGACTTACGGTAATGGGGCTCCATGTAGCCATTCCTGGGGTCCATGGTGAACACTGTCCCTCGGTATGGCACGGAGGGCTCTGCAAGGTGAGGCATGGATCCATGGATTTCCTTCTTTATTAGCGAGGCTCGCTCCTCACTGGACGTGGAAGGCTCCTCGCTGATCTTACCCAGTCCCTGCCCACTTTGAGGCTGCATGGCCACTGCGTTTCTCCTCTCTCGGGAATAGGTCTGTGCAGGACTTTCATCCTCTGTGGAGGGAAGAAAAATGCAAGTCTCTATCAATCCACTTTTAGTTCCATTGTTCTCAGATATTAACCAAGACCCTGCCCTAATGTCTTGTCTTTGTTCAACTTTGGATAGGATAGGGAGTTTCAAGGGAAGGAGTGCTGGTGTGTCTGTGATTATGAATGAGCACCAAGTCAGCGGAAAGAACAGAAGGGAGAGAGAATTCAGATGCTGTCCTGCAGGTTTTCCATTTACTACTGAATTATCGGGATGTTAGAAAGTCATAAACAGCCAGTTTAAACATGTTGTATGTCCCATGACTTGGGGGACCCCCAATAAAAATTTGGACCACTCAACTAAATCCCCAGAGAAGATATTTATATCTCCAAGATCCCAATGTCCACAGCCAGCCAAGTAAGGGGAATGAAATTCATGAGTGATACTAAACCAACTCTGGTCAACACATGGCTGTTGCTTTGTCTTTCCAGAATGAGGATGTTTCACATTTCTGAAAAGCCAGCATACACTTTATCAATACATTGACCAGGTTTGCTGAACTTTTCTCTCCTTTTTCTCCTTTAATATGAGGGATAGATATTCCAAAGGGACAGACATATTGTAGGTGATACAAAAGTAGGTGATACAAAAACAAAGGTAATCAATATTTATTTTTCAAAGTGGTCAGCACTCACTTGGGAAAAGTCATGCCAGCAGGGCAAGCAGTAGAAGAAATCAGGAAACAAAATGCCCCCAGTAGGAGCTCTGAGCGGCCATGGCAAAGGTTCTAAGGAAATAACTAAGTATTGCTTGGGATGCCCATGAAAAAAAAAATAGGACAAAGAGGCTGAATGTTCAGGGAGAGTAGCATGGAGATATGTTCCATTTAACTCTAAGCAACATTGATGCAGTACCTTCCGTGGGCCCTCCCAGCACCAAACTGCATGTTTGTCCTTCCTACAGCCATGAAAAGCCAATGCAATCCAACAAACCTTTATGCCAGGACTCTAATGGCCAAAAACCATTCTAAGCTTTAGGCTGGACATACAAAGCCAAAAGGGAAATGGTCCTTGACCCTAAAGAGCTTATTTCCCACTAAGGAAAAATAACAGGTGACACTGAAAAGTAAATGCAGCTTATGTGCAAAGTGGAATCAAGATAATTTTGGAGGGACAGAACATCCAGATGAGGTGGGTGTGGGAGATCAGGAAAGGCTCCACATGGGGAATGGCCTTTGAAATTAACCCTGGAGGAAACAGGGGATTCCAAGAGGAAAAGGTGAGGAGAGAGAATGTGCCAGGGATGAGGAGCAGTCTGGGCAAAGGCACGGAGGTGAGAGATACATCCTGTACAAGGAACAGTGTGTAGGACGTGTTGGCTGAAACACCGAGTGCTGAGGGCCACTAAAATGAGCTGTCTAGAAAGAGGAGTGGGGGCCAAATTGTATAGGGCATTAAAATAGCATAGGAATCCATATTTTATCTTAGAGATTATCGGAAAGCATTGAAGCTTCTTGAGCAACAAAGTGGCATAAGACAGAAGGGCTGTGCAAGTTATGCGGATTTACACACATGTCCCAGCATAAGGCTCACATGCAAATCCCCCCAAAGTATTTAGGAAGCACCTACTGTGTGTATTTCACTATGGGAAGTTGCATACTGCTTCTCTACCCCTATCTTTGTGGTCCAATTCAGTATTACGCACAAGTGTGTGCTACGCATTGGGGATAAAAAGACAAACACACACAAACAAAAAAGTGTCTGCCTTCAAAGAGCTTACAGTTTAGGGGCACACAACAAAAGATGTGTAAAAATGTCAGATGCCCGAGAAGCTCCAGTTACCTTAACCCATCAATTGCCTCTGATCCAGAAATCCCTTGCCAAGGACCTTCCGCTTTCCCCACCCCCTCACCAAGAAACTAATAGCCACCATCTTGGGAAAGCCTGTCCCTACACGAAACCAAAGGTGACTGGGGTACATTGCTAAAACCACACATCATGTAAGCAAACAGCCCAGTTCTCTGGCAGCCTGTGCCAAGGCCGCCTCCCGGCCAAGCCCGGCCACTGGGACTGCCTTGTTCTGGCTCTCGCAGTGATGGGACTCAGAAGAGAAAATGCCGATTTACATTCACATTTCAAGGAAAAACCACTTCAGTCCTGTCCCCGTCTCCCCTCCATGCCTGCCTCCTGGAAACCCAAATTCTCTAATCAGCCACTGCATGAGAATGGCCCCAGAGCTTCTGGATTTGAGAATCACCCCCAAGTCTCCACTACATTAGCATCTGACTTAGAAGGTGAAACCAGTTGCCTGTTCAGTAAAACCCCCCAGCACTGGAACCGAGTTCAACTGCTGTCTCTGGAATGCAGCTGTCAAAGGTGTACCCTCGCCGGACTATATATCCTGGCCCTAGTCAGCCAGTGGATCGAGCTCCACCACGGAACTCTAATAGGGACAAACCAGTTGTGACGTGTCTGGGTCAACATCTGGGCCTATCCGAAAGCCCTGGCTTTAGTGCAGATGAAAGAGAAGCTGGTCATGAGCCCATCAAACTGAACCAGCAAGCTTCTCCACAAGGGCATGTATCTGCTGGAGGTCAGTGCACTCTCCCTGCCTCAGCCCCATCAGTTTGGATGGGGCTTCCTCACCAAATGTGAGGCTGCATGCCATAGCATATACAATTGGGAACCCCAAGGAAATACCCCAAGTGACTCATGGCATCACCAGATTAGAGGTTTAGTGGTGGAAGGGGCATTCGAGGTCATCTAATCCAAACCTGAAATTTTGTAGATGAAGAAATTAAGGGCCCACGATCACAGCAGTTAGGATTCGAACCCAAGTCCTCTGTCTCTTTCTACTGTTCCATGCTACCAATTCAATGTCTAAATAATAAATGCTTACATTTTTCCAGGTACCACACTAGATACCATGAATTAAAAACACAACAAAAAAGAAAGCAAAAGATTCTGTTCTCAAGGACTAACATTCTATGCATCCAGTAAGAAAATATCTACAAAGTGCTTAGTACAGCGCCTGGTACATAGTAAGTGTTTAATAAATGCATATTCCTTTCCCTTCTGTAATTAGGATAGCCAATACATGAGCACAGTAGCCTGGGCTCAGAATCAGGAAAACTTATGTTCAAATAACTGTGCCTCCATCACTGCTTAGCTGCGAGCAAGATAGTTAATATCTCCCTGCCTCAATTTCTTCATCTGTCAAATGTGGATAATAAAAACTTCAGTCTTTACCTCACAGGGTTATCATGACATGAGAATGATATAATGTACAAAAATGTTTTGTAAGCCTTCAGATGCTACAGAAATGCAAGCTGTCACTATTATTCTTTATTATTATCATTATTATTATTAATCATTGGTGTTGTCATTAAATTACAAAGTACATTATCACTAACACAAGCCATCTCAAGTGGGGAAGACTGCTATAATTGACATGTGGAGGGGGTTAACACCATAACCACAATGTTTTCTTGGTCTTAGGGGACTTGTGGGCACACACAAGAGGAGCTTCAGGTATGAACCCCTGCAGCCCACCCCCACTGCACATCCCCACGCACCATTCCTGAAAGTTTGGATTGCATTTGAGAGTCCTGAACTCCCAAAGCCCAGGAGAAGGAGCTTATCGCTGGCACCTAAAGGCTTTGTCAGTCTCCCCAGGAGGAGGGAGTGAAAGAATAAGAAATAAGTTTGTAGGGCCCCCCCCCCAACTTGGCAAATGGGCAACAGCCCTTGAATGCAGAATGGCCTGGGCTTGGATCTGAGGCTGCAGATTTGCTGACTCCTTCAAACAAGTCGTGAAACATTATTGTCCCATTGTTTTGGGCAGATCTCTATTCCTCCAAACCCAATAATTAAGGGATAAATTACTAGTTTAATCTGTCAAAGAACTCAAAAGAATGCCTGGAATTGGGGAGTAATCTCCCTCTACACACACATTTTAGCATATTGATTTTTTTTAAAGCTGTTCAAGTAATGTTTGTATTAACTTTTTATTTTAAAAAAGACGCACACACCCCCCCTTTTCCATCCTTCTGGTTAACGCTTCCAGGCATGAGTCTACATTCGGCCTTAACAAGCTGGAGACACAGGGGGTTTGCAGTTATGTAAAAGTGAAAGGGTGCCTAACACACTAAAACTTATATTAGGTTTTATAAAAATTCTTATATAATAGAGACACAGCCGAAGTCAGATTTTCCACTCATTTACTCTCTGGCTCAAGACTTTTATGTCAGCCTTCAACCTCAAGTGAACTTTTCCCAATGAAGTACCAATTTCTTAAGAAAGAGGTGGGGGATGTATTTCTGGAGAAAATAGTTAAGGACCAAGGAGAAGACTGGGGCTGCTGAGCTGTAGAAGCAACCCTCAGTCTGGGTGGATCGGTTTGGACAAGCTGTATTTGTCTATTTCTGTTTTCAAAATGAGTTTCAGCATTTTCATCCTGCTTCCAAAATTAACTTTCCCTATGTCCCAACTGCGGTCCAAGCATAAACTTAGCTCCTCGAAGGTGTAAATATTTATGTGATAATTCAATAGGTCTGTACTCAGCCTCTCTCAAGTTGGGTATTAGGAATCAAGTTTCATCACTTGAGGCTGACCTCTGGGTTTTGTTTTCGGTTGGCGGCAGGATTTTTTTTTTCCTTTTCTTTCATTCTTCCCTCTCCCCTCCCCCTCTTCCGTGATTGCTTCTGGGGGGAAAGAAACCCAAGTTCATTTTTAGGTAAACTGCTTTCTTCCTATAAGGAAACTAAAAATGTAAGAAAAAAAGAAGCAATAAAATGATAAAAAGAAACAATAAAAATGAAGAGTTTGATACAGAAAGTATTTGTTTTGGCAGAGAGCAAAGTCAATTGAGGCAGTACGGCTGTTAAACATCGTTCCAACGTTATGCTCTATCGATAAACTTCTGTCAGGAAAAAAAAAAAAGCAAAGTCCCCGGATTTGAGGGCGACAAAATGAACTGGGGAGGACAAGCTTCATGGCGAGTTTGCCGCTGCCCGGGATCAGAGTTG